TTCACGCTCACCCCTACGCAATTTTTTGAAGTGAAGTGAAGACACCGAAGACTTTTTATTTTTATTGAGTTTAGGAATTTTTGTAAGAATGACAAGACCTTCTGCATAAACAAATTAATTTTTGAGGGATAAAAATTATTATTTTCTGAGTCAGTTGAAAAATTATTTTTTCTCTGTCTAAAAATATTTCTACCGAGTCAGTTTCAAAATAGTGTGTCAAAATTTCTTAACAAGAATATTTTTTTAAGATTACACAATTTTTTCTTGGTAAGAAAAATTTACTTTAAATATTTTTCGTGTACATCGTTTGACACACAAAATAATTTTTGGACACCTTTTCTCTCCCTTGCTCTCATTCATTGAACAAACAGGGAGAACAGGGAGGAGCGTCTCCCATATTCTCGTTGTCCGAAACAACGAGTTACAAGCCAAAATGCTTCCAATCGTACTTGGCTTGGGCCCTTTGTGTTTGCGCATTATTTTCTTGTTAATTGATTATTTACTCTATGATAATCGATTAGATCCAGCGCAAATAATACTTAATCGATTTTTCCTTTTACGAAAATCGATTTGCTTGGACAGAACCTCCTAATCGATTTGTTTCTTCACTTTAATCGATTTATAAGCTTTTCGGTGGGCTGCTCTACTTTGAACAATAATCGATTAATTCTCATCCATTAATCGATTAGTTCAAACCGAACCTCCTAATCGATTATTTGTCTTCATTTAATCGATTATGAGTCTGTTTTCTTTTCAGGCTATTTCGCTTCTGTGTACCGTAATCGATTTAACCCTTTTGATTAATCGATTAATTTTATCTGGTGCATATTCTCAGCCTGCTCCAACGGATTTATTTTTCACTCAGCCTATTTANATTTGAGTGTTGTTCTTAAGACTTGTGTGACTCAAGTCTTGTTGTTGTAAGAAAGTGAGGCTTGTGTGATTCAAGTTCTCAAGTTGTACCGGTTTTTCAAGCACCCGTTGAAGCTTGAAGATTAGTAGGACTTTCGAGAGAGTCTCTCGGAGGACTGGACTAGCCACGAGGTGGTGAACCAGTATAAATCTCGGTGTTCTTCTTTCCCTTACTCTCTTTATTTATTCCTGCGATTTTATTGCTTCACACACGCGAAAAACGCACATTCTTGAAAACAACTCTATTCACCCTCCCTCTAGAGTTGCACACTTGTCTAACAATTGGTATCAGAGCAGGAAGTTCTATGAATACGTTATTTTTCAGGAACTAAAAGATCAAATGGCATCAAGGATGTTCAACGCAGGAGTGACCGAGGGACAATCAACCACGAGGCCACCTTTGTTCGATGGAACAAACTACTCGTATTGGAAGGAGAGGATGAGAATCTTTATCCAATCCAACGACTACAAGCTGTGGCTGATTGTGAAGAACGGCTGCGGAGTCCCGATGAAGAAAGTTGGTGAAGTCGACGTTCCCAAAACTGAAGAGGAGTTCACCGACGAAGACTGCAAAAAGATGGAGCTCAACGCAAAGGCAATAAACATGATTTATTGCGGTGTTAACGCGGATGACTACTGCAAAATCTCGCGGTGTGAAACCGCAAAACAAATGTGGGAGAAATTGGAGGTCACCTATGAAGGAACCGCGCAGGTTCGGGAGGCCAAAATCGACCATCTTACTCACGAGTACGAACTCTTCTCAACGAAGGAAAATGAGAAGATTGAGGAAATGTTTGAGAGGTTCTCTAACATCATTAATCCTCTCAATCTTCTAGGGAAGACATACACCGACCGAGAGCTCGTGAGAAAGGTGCTGCGAAGCTTATCTCCCAAATGGCGTTCAAAGGTGGATGCAATCGAAGAAGGTCGTGACTTCCAAACAACGACCTATGACGCTCTTCGAGGTAATCTTATTACCTACGAAACCACCCAACTCTCAAAGGTGGTTGAAGAGAAGAACAAGAGGTCTATTGCTCTACCCGCAACAACATCAACCCACAACAACGTTGATGATGAAGATGATGATAGCGACGACACCGACCTCGGACTCTTTGTCCGAAAATTCAAAAAGATGATGCTCAAGAAGGGAGTCAAGAAGAACACTCCACCCAAGTGCTATGGGTGTGGTGAAATTGGGCACATCAAACCAATGTGTCCGAAGCTCAAGAATGAGAAAGACAAGAGAGCACCGAAGAAGCAACGTGCCTACATTTCTTGGGAGAACGATGGCTCCGGGAGTGAAGACTCGGAAACGGAGGAAGTGGCCAACCTTTGTCTCATGGCCATTGAAGATGGTGATACATCAAAAGAGGTAAGTGATCAAGAACCTTCTCCCAATGATCCTTTAACTCTTAATGATGTTGTTTGCATTGTAGAAGATTTAGTAGGAATGTTCAAAAAGGCTTCCAAAGAAAATAGAGAAGTTAAACAAAAAATCCTGATTTTTGAGAATGATGTAAAAGAACTCAAAAATATAAATGATAAACTTAAACAAGAAATTATCTCTTTTGGAAAAAGGCCACAAGAACCTTCAACTACTTCATCTTCTACATGCTCTAGTTGTACATCACTAAAAGCTAAGGTTGCTAGTTTAGAAAGCAAATTGGGAAAGTTCAATAATGCTTCAAACACCTTAGATAAGATACTTAAGCAAAAAGTTAGTAATGGTGAAGGACTTGGATATAAGAAAAACCAACCTAGAAAAACAACATTTGTTAAAGCTAGGGGGAATAAAAATGCTAGGATAAATAATCAAACTAGAAGAGCACATCCTAGCAAACCTAGAACTCATTACACTCAACCATATAGGATGAATAATCCAAATGTTATTTGCCACTATTGCAATAAGATAGGTCACATTGCACCCGTGTGCTTCACCAAAATTAGGCATTT